TTGGCCATTTGGCCCCTGAATAGATATAGTCTTATACTCTGTGTGTGTGTGTGTGTGTGTGTGTGTGTGTATTTCCCAGTTGACCCCTCATTGGAACAGCTATGCTATGACTGAATAGCAGCAGGAAAGTAGAGAGAGAACATGTTTTCAGGTGTCACTAATAATGAAGGAAAGGGGTGTTACTACCCAGTGGTAGTTTTATATTCAGTGCAGGAAAAACTCAGCTTCAGAATAGGAAGAAAGTTCAGTTTTATGCAGAGATACAACTCCAGAACATTAACCAGTTTGAAACTTAAATAAGCTTGATTCTTGAGATGCAGGGTCCTAACAGATCTCTTAGGTATCAGAAAAATATGCAGCATTGCATATTACTGCTTGTGTTCAAATATAAGCCTAAACTTTTCAGTGTTTTAATAATGAGATTGATGTAGACTGGATCATTCCTCTATCAACTTCCATTATATCATGCTGTTTTATGGAGTGTATTTTTGGTTAAAACTGCCATCTTAGTTAAACTTAGTTACTCATGAAACCAGTGGGACTTAAGCCACCACAAATTTGCCCCGTTGATTTGAATAGAATTAGTCAGCCAACAATGGCTCACTCCAGTGTGAGAAGAGAAGGTATGCAGTAGAACTTCCCCTTTCTCCTCCCCCTACATTTCCTCCCTCCATCTATAATATCTATATATTTATTTATTTATGTGCACATATGTATATATGTGTGTGTGTAATAATAATAATTTGTGTGTGTGTATAAAAATACAACATCCAAAAATTCTGCGGCTGCATAAAGCCACACACATATATTCCAGGCTCCACTAACATCCTGGCCCCAGTGCCTGGGGGAAAAGCTAAATCTTCAAGTCCAAGGAAGGCCAGCATAGTCTGGGCCATCTGAATGTTGGGGAAAAGGTGTTATTCTATAAGGCAAGTGCCACAACAGAGAAGATGCACTGCTTGGATCCTGCCAGGTGACATTGCTGTACAGAAAGGACCCTGAGTGGAACATTTTATCATAAGCGGTAGTAAAAAAAATTCACAAGTACTGGAAAGAAAATCATAGCATTAATTTTAAATTTTAAAAAGAAAACTTGTATTGAAGCCTCAGTTTTTTCTACTTCTACTTTTCTACTTCAGTTACAGCATATGCTGATGGCCACAAGGACCAGTTTGGCCCACCATTGGAAAAGAGATACTTTGCCAACAAAATCAGAGTGGGAAACCAAATTTGACAATGGTAGAATTAATGGTATACACCCAGAACAGAAGTTGAACTAAATTTAAGCAAGAATGGCTTCCTTATATATTGCATGTCACAAACCAAGGCAAACCCAGATACTAACAGTTTTTAAGAGAGAAGTAGTTAACATAAAGATAGTAACCAGAAGCAATTTTAATGTTTATAAATAATTTGATGTAGTCAGATACAATGGGAGGGAATCGAAACTTAATACTGTTTTTCACTGATTGTTTGTTTACTTTTACTTTTAATTTTTTCTTTCTCTTTTATAAGATCATGTGCATTTATTTTAGATAATGATAAATAGTGGTAACATCAATATAAAAAAGTTTAGAGTTCTATAGTGATTTACATTTGTTTCTCAAGATGATATAATGAGTCTAGTTTTATATACTCAATTATTTAATTAATGGAAAAAATGGCAATTGTAAATTCTCTATTTTCTATCCACTGTGGCCTTTCTTACTTTCTTCTTTTTCTGTTATGTGGCTATTTATTTTGTTCCTAAGTATTATTGGCCGCCCAACTCCAGCGGATTCTGGGCACTGTACAAAACTAGAAAAAACATAAAAACAGCAATATAAAATCTGACAGATTTTGTTTTATTTTTAAACTTTTAAAAATTTAAATTTTTAAATTTAATTTTAAAATTAAAAATTTAGACAGATTATTTTATTTTTAAAATAAAAAAGGGATGGGAAAAAGGACCGTCAGCATAACCCCTTGAAGATTATTTGTGCTTTGATAGCATCAGTGTTGGTCAATTGTACATGTACAGCAAAATGAAACAAATCTTAAATTTTAACTTGTTTAGAATGTAGTTTTCAATTAGTGGACATGCCTTCCTGTAATACGCATATTTCAGTAATATTAAGAGGTTTTTATTGACTACCAGTTTATAATCAACAATTCTAAGTTACATTTTTCAGTTAATGGTTCTAGCATTTAGAATATATTAATCCCGCACAGAATACATTTTTTTTTAAATCTTACATCATGTACTGTATTCTTTTTGCTAATCTTTTGCAGTCACCGACTCCTTTTATTGCCTTTTCCTCTCCAAAACTATCTCATAGTATAGTTAACAATTATTTCATCATCTTATGTTAGGAAATTATCATGAAAGTATTGCAGCTGCTTTTGAGGATAGACCAGATATATCATTAAGCAATCATAACATGAGTTTGGTATTTTAATTTGATGGTGCAGAGATATTTTGAAAATCTTTACTACTAATGTATTTTGGAACACTTCTTCCTTAATGAATCTGTGGAAGTTTACTATGTCAAAACAATCTTTCCAATGGCATTATTTGGGGAATAAATGGCATGTATTCCTGAAGTAAATAGTTTTGTGTTTATTCCTATCCCAGTTCCCAGGAATTTTGGAGATGAAGATGATGATTAGATTTTTATGCTGTCTTTTATATATTTTGGTCAACTCAAGGCAGTTAACGTGCCTAATGATCCTACCTCCTATTTTCCCCACAACAACAACCCTGTGAGGTGGATTGCGCTGAGAGAGAGTGACTGGCTCAAAGTCACCCAGCCAACTTTCATGCCTAAGAGAGGTCTAGAACCCCCAGTCTCCTGGTTTCTAGGCCAGCACCTTCAACCACTACCCAAAGTGGCTCATATTGGAACTTTTAGCAAGTACTTCATACTTATTAGCAAATACCATTCTCCGGAATAAGGACATTAATTCTTCTAATGATTACGCCAAGTTATTGATGAACTTTCTTCCCCAATCTAATGCTTTCCATATCTATGTACATAACCTCCCATCATTTCTAGTCAGCAGCCTTTAGGAATTACTCAAATAGAAGTTAAGAACATCTGGAGTATACAAGATTAGAGAAGATTGATTTTGAATATTTGCATATTCTGGTTTGATATATGTAATTCTGTTATAGCATATATTTATTCAGGATTTGGTTGGTTGGTTGGTTGTCAGAGTTCTAAGGGATAATTCTAGACTAGGAGTTCCCAACCTGGGATGCCTGCACCCCAGGGAGTGCGAGATGGAATTTCAGGGGGTGCAACAATTTTATTCGCTGAGTAAAAAGCTTTTTTTCTTTTTAAGTTCAATTTGTTCACCTGCATTAGAAGTTAGACTTCTTCATCTTCAAATGTGATATTACTTTTGTAGGGGGTACGAACATTAATCAAACATTTTCTAGGGGTGTGGGCATAGAAAAGGATGGGAAACAGTGTTCTAGACTATTATTTTGTACGTATAACCTGGGAATAAAGATATGTAAGATGTAAGGAGATGGTGGTATTCCACTCTGGCAGAAACATAATGTGGAAGAGAGTCGGTACGTAGGAATACTCATTAAATTGAACTTTTCTCAAGGATACCAAGAGTTTTTTTTTCAAAATGTTTTAGAAATTTAAAAATTTAATTTAAATGTTTTAGAAATTTAAATTTAGAAAAATTTAAAAACAAAAAGATTTATTGCAGAGAAAAAAGTGTTCTAAAACACTGTAAGAGATGTTTCTTTACCTATATGACTTTTTTTCTAATTCTTAAGTGACTTTGATTCCCTGAATGAAGAAGATGCAGTCGAAAACAACCAGCGAGCATTTGATATTGCTGAACGAGAATTTGGAATTCCTCCTGTCACAACTGGGATAGAAATGGTGTCTGCTGGAGAGCCTGATAAACTCAGTATGGTCATGTATCTTTCGAAATTCTATGAGCTATTTAGGGGAACACCTCTGAGAGCAGTGGGTAAGTTCTGTTGCTTTTACTCTCAACAGAAATCAAGCTTTTGTTACTTTACATTCTCTTTGGCCTTAAACTTGAGCCCAAGGTTGTCTTGCAGTTGTAACTGCTTTGGAATGTTTAATTATATTTAGCTACGTTATCCTGGCGGAATATGGGGGGAATGCATAGTTTTATTCTAGAATGGTTTTGGAAATCCAGAAGATGCTATTCCTTTATTAGTTAATTGGTCATATAAGTTTCATGAAAGTTGCTGATTCTGCACTTGGTCTTCATATTTGTCCCAGTTTTACTACATTTTTTAATTGAGCACCAAGTCACTGATTGTAACTGGTTTTACTCAATTATGCATCTTACTTAGATAAACTCTGTTGAATGTGTTGTGATTTCTGTGTTAGCATTTGGCAGTGGTTGAGTGGTTGAAGGCTGTAAGTCCACCTTCCAACTTTTCAGAGGGTCACAAAAGGCATCTAATGATACTGTGACTCATTGGAAGACCCAAGCCCAAAATTTCTGGCCCTTTCATGTGGATTTTAAGGGTAGAAATAGAAGTGGTAAGCCTCTGGGAGGCAAATCACTTACACCCCCACCTATAAAACCACCTAAAATCCAAACAGTGGCCTGATATCCCACTTCTCAGGCTCATCCTGGGTCTTTCTTCCAGATTTTGTGAGAGGGACAATTCAAAGGGTCATCTCCTATACTAAGTGTTCAACTTTTTACAACTTCACATTTTTTGGGTAATTGTGGTGGGGAACAAAATGGAACTGGGAACAGAAGAGATCTGTGAGGCAAACCCCTTACGTTCTGAATTTTTAATGATTTTTTTTTAATGTACTGAAATTCAGCAGTTTTGTTACTAAATTTGGCAGTGACATTTTTAGGGTGCTGAGTGGGAGCAGCATGTGGCTTGACAGATGTCCATCTCTATTCTAAGTTGAGAGGACAGGATTGTGCTGTTTAGCTAGAAGAGTAATGTTGCTTTTTCAACATGTTTGTGTAATGAAAGACTTTATGAAGTTAGTTATAAATGTATTTTTATAGGAAAAAAATACTTGAAAGTATGAATGTCTTGCTTTTCATAATTTCTAAATTGATAGGTGATGTCTTAATTTAATTTATTTCTTTATGTTTGAATAGGTACTGTGGCCAAACAAAATGGAGAAAGAATTGATTCTTGTTCAACAAAATCATCCAACTTCGTCTTTAATAATTACATAAACTTGACATTTCCAAGGAAGAGAATACCAAAAGTAAAACTCTATATCTTTTTCCTTCCTCCCTTTTCTTCATATAAAGGAATCGATGCATGCATGCTATAGAATTATAGTATGATAGTAACCAGCAGGCTTATAAACTGACAGATACTCTGTAACTTGTGATAGTTAGAAACAGGACCATATTCAATGAAACTGTGAACAGAGTATGGCTTTCTCTATCATACTAAGTTTGTAAATTTCCCTGGACTATTTGGTTGCCATCTGTGGTCAGTATGAGATTGATCTTTGATCTCATAAGGCAAAATTATTCTTAGGACTATTGGAAAATGTCCTCCAATAAATTTACTCTCCCATTTGCAGATGTTAAATTGGCCTAATATTAAAGGAAAGTAATTTTCAAAAGAGAATCTACTTGTCGGTGACCAGTATACTCTGTTGATTTCTGAAAGTGATCACTACATTGTTTTTTGTTCCAGTTGAATGGCTCCAGAGATCTTAGCATGCATGTATCATTTTTAAATGATTGCTTGATTAAGCAAGAAAATATACAAAAATATTTGGTTAACAACTTCAGTAACTAGGAGCTAAAAACAGTGAATGCATTTTGTGCTTTTAAAGTTGTATCAACTGTGCCTTCTGAAGGCCATTAAATAAAGTTTGAGAGAGCCTTCCAAATACAAAACATATTTTTTTCTTATGCTAACCATTCTATAAATAATACCATCAAATCATGTGAATGTTAAGCTATCAACCAGTAGCCATATGCCCTTTTTAAGAAACAGCCTTTATTTATTCAGCCATGCAAACAAAGTTGATGTGTTTATTCAACTGAAGCCCAACAATCCAATTTGGCAGAAGTGGGAGAAAATGCTCTCCCTTCCAAAACAAGTTTCCAGCAGATTACTTTGCTAAAATATTGATATGGTGTATTTCAAGATGTTGCTTACTATAACTTTCCTGTTTGTCTTGCACATTAACATGAATTAGAAAGATATCTTGAATTTACTCCCTTCTACATTCTATACCAGTTTTCTTGACCTCAGCTACATGATCAAAATGTATTTTATATGTTATTAAATGCCTAACTGAACTGTGAATATTAAAACATTAAAAACATGCCCAGAAACTAAGCTTAAAAAGATCTATGGGTTAGATTTACAAGTCTGTAAAAGGAATTGTGCTTATACTGCTGTCCCATAGATAGTTCTTTCACTTGCTTTCCCTGCTCCACAGGGAACTGAGATCCCACAAATAGCTTGGCAGGGAGAAAATTAATAAAAACAATTTCCCCATTCCACTTTCTATTAGTAGTGAGAATTTCCACTGCAGCCTCTTCCAAGAGCAGAAGGGTAGTTCTGGTTCATGTGACCATTAGTAATGATTTTGACCTAGACAGAATAGTCTGATTCAAAAAACTTTAAGAACTTTTAAGACAGTTTTTAGATCTATACATCTGTCAGTGGTTTTGGAAAGGAGAGCTAAGAGTGGTTTTGTCCCTCATTTAGGAGATTACACATAGCTATAAAATAGTTCCAAAATAAATATATAGAACCATGTGACTTGCAAAATTAGCTAGAAACTCTTGAGTTTTGTCAGTACTGCCACTTACACTTGCATGAAACGTTATTGAACTGACATAATGTTGACGTATTCGTTGGATGCTTTCTACTTCTTCTAGAAGTATGTTTTCAAAGGTACTCTAAAGTTTTCTTCACTAATTCATATAACTGATAAGTTCTGTCTTTCTTACATAAGGAACACCTGATGATTTATCCAGGACCTGAACTAGGCAGCAGTATACACAATCTCCTGAATAGTGTCATCTTGAAATTTGTTATGCTGAGATCTTTAAGCTTCAGTACTTTATGCCTCTTTAGGCCCTGGCAGGCTTCCCAATTCATACTTTCCAGATTTTTGGATTTCAACTTCTATAGTCCCAAGCCAACACAGTCAACATATTCATGTTGGCCGAGGGATTGTGGAGGTCATCAGGAGGGAAAAGCCTAGTTTGTCAGTAACATTTAAGTAGTGTAAACTTCTAAAAGTATTGATTGTTATGAAAAACAGACTGTTATGATTGAGTGGCTCTTCTTATCTGAAATAATGCATGAGGACTCTGAATCAGGGGGACCTGATTCTCGTCTGACAGATTTCTGAGCTACTGTGAAATTGGAATTATGTGATTTTTGAGTTATTGTAATATATAAAGATAATAGATGATTCTGTACTTTTAATCCACAGTCCAAATGCATTGGTACGTTCAGTGGTTCAGAAGTGATTAATACTTTAGCATAACCTTTGTGATTTATTTGACTCATCAGGATATAATAATATTGGCGTCTGTCTATCTGTCTATCACATTTATACACCACTGCACTCCCAAGGAACTTTGCGATATTGGCTTCTTAGTTTAACAATTGCAGTAACATTGAGACTAGCAGATCAAAATTATGAACTTCAGGACAGCTTTGGCCTGCTCAACTATACCACCACTGTAAGACTGGTGGACCGCTAAAGCATTCAAAACTTCTCAGAGAAAGGCTGCAGTGCAAATGTTATAAAATCATCTGGTGAATAAAAATTCTGAACTTTATTATATATTATACAAAATCAACTTTCTACTGATATTCTGTTAGATCTTCTCAGTGATACACATACATTACAAAGATAAATATATATTTTTAAATAACATTCCATGTAATAAAGCTCTAACGTAGGATTTGCAAAGCTCGACTTCTGTAAAGTCAAGTTAAAAGCTTGCATGACCCAGCTCCAATGAAAAGGTTATAGTAGTGAAAAATTCAAAAGCAAAAAGAAAAAGTACAGGACAAGCATATTGCATTTGCACCAAAAGTAGAACATAGATGAGGATACCAAGAAACTCCATCCTTTGCTTGCCTTATCTTCTTGTGTTCTATCAGTTCAGGTAGTTGTTCTCAGGCCATGTATTTTCTGGTGTTTTAGCTGATTAATGAGAAAAATGCCTGTGCTGACATAATGCAAAGAAGAATGGCAAAAGACAAAGGGGTTTCTATTTCCATCAGTCATATGTGGCTTTCACATAAAAACCAGATTGCACCCATCCTATAGCATATGAATGGAATGGAGCAGAATGAACTAGTATAGTCTGATTTGGTCCATAGATAACAAAATTTGCTGAGGATAGGTAGGTGTTTGTGGAAAGGGAAAATTAACATTAGCTGACGTTTATAATAAATTAAAAGTGCCCTAAAATTAGCCCTCCAGTCAATTTGTAGAGGAAACACATGCATAATTAAACCTTAAATTACACCTAGTACATAATTTAATTACATTCTTTGTCCTTCTATTCATTTTATAATTAATTTGATTTTTTTTTAATGTATCATTGTTTTAACCAGTACCCTTCTATTAAATGGATACATTTTAGATACATTTACAGTTGTGAATAATTTTTCTAACTTGATTCCATTGCTTTTAGGTGGAAGAAAATGAGACCAGTAAAAGGCGACGTAAAAGTCTCATAAGTTTTGAAGAGGTTGGTAATAATTTTCATTATTACATTTGTTTTTAATAAGTAATAGAATTTGTTCTCCACTACAAAAAGTAGATATTAGGGAGTTCATATTCAGCTTTTTAACTGATTAAAATTGGCCATAACAAGCTAGGAGATAGATATAAAAATAAAATAGCATTATTTTACTTATTTACTTACTTATTTTATTATTTATTTACTTATTTATTGAAAGATTTAAACTGCCCAATAGTTGAAGCTATTAATAACTCCCATTTTGTTATCAATTAGACGTCTGCAGAAAAAAATAACATTGTTTTGAAACCTGCTTTGAACAAGCAGTACTTCACTTTAGCTTCTTTCAAGCAATACTAGCTTCTTCAGATCTGTTGTTACAAGTCTATATGGCTACTGCCACTGTCAGTGGAAGCCAAACCACTCTGAAGACTTGTAATGTGACAAGTGTCAAATATCAAGGATAGAGTTGACTTGATTGTTTCTTATGGGCCTTTCTGTGGCTTTAGATACTATCCTTCTGGATCACCAGTTCCATTCCCATCTCTCAAGTAGATTTCAAATTATGTTGCTTGGACATAGATCCTTAAAAGAGGAGGTATAAGAAATCCTTTACACTTCCATTCTGTTCCCAGTGCTTTTCAATACTCCTTGAAATACTGGAGATCTGCATCTGGATCATATCAATGTGCTCTTGACATCCAATTCTATTTCTCTGTGAACTTTTCAAGAAATTGAATGATTCCCCTGAATGCCTGCAATCTGTAGGGAGATAGATAAGGGATAATATATTGCAAGTGAACCAGAAAGTGCTCATTGTGAGGGGCAATAATTCCAAAGAAGCCATAGAACGGTATGTTTTAAACAGATTGCACTCTCCCAGAAGGAGTATTTAGATAGTTTAGGGGTGCTTCTGGACTCAGATCTATCTCTGGTTTCCCAGACCAGATTAAAGAAATGGCCAGGAGCACATTTTATCAGTTTTAGTAGATACACCAATTGGAAGATAATGATCTTAATATTATGTCACATGTACTGGTAACCTCCACGGTCTACACGGGTCTGCCTTTGTGTCTGTCTGAAAATTTTACTTGGGACAAAACTTGGCAGTCAGGTTGGTCTCAGGAAGACCGTGAGCAGTCCGTATTAAGCCTGACCTTAAAGTACAGTTCTGGGTGCTCATTTATTTGTGCACAAAATACAAAGTGCTGATTAAAGCCAAAGCCCTACAACAGCTCGGGTCCAGACTAATTGAGAGAAGACCAATTTCTATATGAATCGTCATGGTTACTGAGATCATGTGAGGTCTGCTTAATGTTGCAGTAAGCTCATCTGATGGTTACTTGGGATTGCGCCTTCTCTGTTGCTGCCCTGACTCTTTGGAACACAACTCCCGAGCATAACGCCTTTAGTAGCTTTTTAAAAGGCTCTTTAGAAACACCTATTTGTACAGGATTTTAATTGCTGATTTTAACTGTTAGCTTTACTCCTTCTACTTGTTTTACTTGTTTTTAATGTCTCAATGTTTAGTTTATTTTTTATTGTAAACCACAAAGAAACTTTGGTCGTCAAGTTAAAGAAATACATAAAATAAATGGATGATCTTCCTCCGGTAATGCCTTGTGTTAAAGGAGACAAAAGCAAAGCCATTCCTCCAGTAGCTTCCCACACACACATTTCTTCGGAGCAACACACCTTGTATCAACCATTCACCATTCTGTATAAACTAATGGCTTAAAAAACAGTGTTATCCCTCTCATCTTCTCTTTTATTTATTATCTTGCCTGATCCCAAGAACTCAATGCTTGCATTACTTTTTTGTGTCTAATAGAGGCATTGTTCTGATGTGGATTACAGAACACTTTTCAACTTCACAAATGCAATGAAGAAAATAAATGGCAGTCCCTAAAGTTGTGGAATATATAAATATGCTTCCTCCCCCTCTCCCATCTGCTTGTTTATAGTCTTCAAACCGTTTAAATCAAGAAAGGAATTCTAATAATCAACCAGGGGATTTGAAAGAAGCAATACATCGAAACAAAGTGAAGTCAATGGCAACGCAGCTCTTAGCCAAGTTTGAAGAAAATGCACCCAGTGTTTCACTAAGGAGACAGGTGAGTGAGTGAGTGGGTGAGTGAGTGAGCAAGAAACAAAGAGGAGAAGGTGGAACAACTGCAGGGCAAAGCCCAGACCACCTGGTTAGCTCGCAGTTAAGAAATGGGCATAAGACTACATTGACAGTATTACCAAAAAGAAATAGAGATGATGTGGAGATGCTGAATTCTTCCTGCCTCTCTCCTCCGGGTCCTACAGAACGTGGAAGAATAAAAGTACATGCAGTAAGGTGGAGTGAGCATCTAAGACACATATCTTGTAGGATGAGGAATTCCCTCATAGTATCAGGCAGTTAACAAAATCTGGACTCCTAGTACCCTGTTTATAGCATTTAAGCCTGCCCTGGAAGTCCTATGCTTGATTGTATATAGCTCCTGTGGTGCTGCTGTCTACATGCACTGGATCTGCTCCTTGTAACCTTGACTTGTTTTTGGATCTTCCCTGTGCATCTCTTCTGCTTGATACAGTAAATGAATCTACTGTCTTACCTAATTTGATCAGTTTTGCTTTGACTGGTACTAGACTTTCCCTTTGACCCAGAAGTGCTTTGTTATTGTTCTGCTCCCTGTACAATTAGTAAAACTCATATTTGGAAATGGAGGCAAATCTTTCTGATGGATAACCAGCTGTTTTGAGCTATTTGCATATAGGCCCTCTGAATATATGTGCATGACATTACTATGTAGGTTTTGAGTATTAGGAGAAAGATCCTAAAACTTGATTCTGCTTCCAACCAGCATTTCAGGGAATACTGATATTGATCAGATCTCAAAAACCAGGATTCTGGGTAATGCAGTTCGGTGTTAGCTTCACAATCTTCACATGTATAGGAAATACAAATTCCTAGACAGATAGGCAGATAATATACATGCTGGTGGCATTATAAATGTTCCAGAAAGAAAGCATTTCCAATTCCTATCTTTGTACTTTTTGTATAATGATGAAAATGCAGCATAGACATTTGCTCCTAGTGGGAGATACACAAGATTCCTTTCAGATACTAGATAGTGTGACATAACTGTATGATACTTTTTCTCCCTATTACTGAATTTTTTTTGAAATAATGTCTGATGACATGGGATTAGGCTGTCTTAGTATGTAACATGGTTTAATAGATCAATATAACAGCTTTATATTCCCGTGCTTCTTAAGATAGCTAGCAATGTTGTGGTTAAGATTACAAGGCAGTAAAAGTTATGTTACACATTTTTATGGCTACTTAAATAGATAGATTTTCTAGGAACATTGTACTCCAGGAAAGTTGCTGCATAACTATGTACAAATATTTCTAGTGTAGGATTCAGAAGACAAAATTCTGAACCAGCTTATCTTTTTTGGACAGAATCCTAGAGTGATATCCAGCATAAAAACCTTATTTGAAACATCCTACATAAATTTAATGTATATAAAATATATAAAATAATTCATTACATTCATTTTTATTCATATGGCTGTTGAACTGGAAATGAAAGATACTCAGAAAAGAGGAACTTTTTTTTGATCCCTACATATCACCACCTAATTGACAGGGGACATTCTCAACTGAACCACATGTAAAATATGTGGATATGTAATGTCGCACTTTCATATTCCAAATTAAAATTGTAAATAAATTGTTTACATTTCTGTCCTCTCCACCCCCAATGCCAATCTCCATAATTTCTCAGGATAATTTACAACTGTGTGACCTTGGGCCAGTCATTCTCTCTCAGACCTAGGAAGGAGGGAATGGCAAACACTTCTAAAATCTTGCCAAGAAAACTGCAGGGACTTGTCCAGGCAGTCACCAGGAGTCAACAATGACTCAAAAGCACGCGTGCGCTCACACACACACACACACACACACAATTACAAAGTTACCAATAGGTTAAGCACTGGCAGAAAAGTGATGACCAAATCAAGGTGACTGAGATTCATTACTGATTATTTAAGTTTAAGACTTCCTTTTTCTTCAAACTATTTAGATTAATTTTTATGTTGCCACACCAGTTTAAAAGATAAAACTGATCACATATATTCTCTGTAATTAACATATGCTTGCCTGGTTATTTTACCATGCATAGCAATCTAAGATAATTTGAAAATTGAGATAGTGAAAAGCTACCAGTGATATGCTCAGTTGTAACTGTAGTTTGCTATTCAAAAGGACTAATGAGTATTGTGCTTTCTACATTCTGAAAGATTTATTTTTCAAGTGAAGAAAATGTACTGATTACTCCAACAATAAATATTGGTTGCATATGGAAGAGAGAAGTCATAAGATTTAAAGCAGGGTTGGTTTGACTGCAGAATTGGTGATGGTATTCCTAATGGCCATCAATGTGAAAAATCTTAAGAGTCAGTGCTTATAGTGTGCAGTTTACAAATATTAACTTCTCTCTTTAGAATTTTTTAATATTATGTTTCCTGAGTTTAGATATTTGAGTGGCTTCTAACTCAGGAGACTCATGCAACAGGGCAGGTTTTCAGTCTGTTTAGGCTTTTGTTTAGCTTTCAGTATGAAGACTATACAAACTGGGAGCTATACAGAAAACCAATGGGTTCAATTTATGGTTTGCTCAGCTGACTCAACTATCTTCTTCATAAGTCCAAGAGGTTAGTAGCATACAAGCATATTTAGCATGCTCCCTACAAAAAATATTGTTTAAAGCAAAACATTTAATATTGCACGTGAATGCTTTGAGAACAAATTTGCTTCCAGTTTGTAAATGATTTCCTACCTACTAATTGAACCTTTATTCCATTGGCCTTCATATTGACATGAATAGAGGCTTGGGGGAATTATTGTAATTGGGACTGGAGTAGAGAAGAAAGGTTAAGCTTGTCCTTCCCATTGCCCTAAATGACACTGTATAAATGTTAAACATAACTAGCAATCTTATTTGCATCCACCTGATTTATTTTAGAGGATGTTATTACATTTGCAACTGAATAAGCAGAAATGATACCTTCACAAATTTTAAAATGTTACTGCTGGTGGCACTTCTCAAAATTTCTTTCTTCTTCACACTAGCTTTTGGTTCTAATTCTAAAATGTTTTTTTCTCGGGCTATTCCCTACTTTTTTAATTTAAGGAGCCAGTAAATAGACCAGGTTTGCTTCTTTCTTCTGAATCTCCCATAAACCCTCGCTTTGCTAAACCCAAGGAGACAACCGATAATCTGCCATCTCCACCAAAGCAACAGGTAGGCATTCTTTAGAAAAAAATCCTTGATTGCTAGAGAGCATGGTGGATGATGCCAGCAACAAGTCCATTAATGCATTCAAAAACAGTAGAGACCCATTTTAACACAATGTGAAATATACTGAAGAAGTGATATAGTGGGCAGCAAGGCTTAGCTCCTACTAAAATTCTGCACCACTTTTCCCTATCCCAGGTGAATCACAGAAAAAGAAAAATGATTTCAAGGATCACCTTAGCATAGAATTGGGCAATGGAAATCTAATTTGTAATAATCAGATGTATGCTGTTTGCTAGACCATTGGGTAGTGGGAATTTTTGTTCCAAATAAGTAACTTTCCTTGTGTTTATGAGATGCCTGTTTGCATGGATACACTCTGATTACTTTAGCTAATTTAAGTGCAGGGTTTTTTTGTTGGAAGAGAGGCCACCGGTTTCATTGGCAGTGTTTCCCAGTTTCAGGCCATAGCTAGGACAGACTGCACTGTCAGGAAACCCTTGCAGCCTTTGCCTGATGAACAACCAGTGGCCAAGCCTTTGAGATGCATAGAACCAAGTGAGCTGAAGTCTAGACTCTCTGAAGCGCTTGCATCTTCCTGCCCTGCTGCCCTTGCACTCTCTGGTGTGCTTCAGCGCCTTCAGGATGTGGAGGAAAAAGTTAATCAGGTGACATTGTCTCCTCTGTTTCCTCTTCTCTTTCCTTTCTGGTTACTTCCTCTGCTACTAGAACTCACTCAACCATGGTTTATCTTTAGGACAGTTGTGAACCATGGAGTCCTAGCTGTTCTAACCACAAAACGTATTTTTGTTCCTTTCACAGATGCCTCATCATTTCACAATTTATTTACTACATTGCACACACCTTAGATTGGTTAAAGAACATGGTAACATTTGGGGAAAATTGACTAGAAAGTTTCCTTCCTTCTATCTCAGGGTGGCAAGAGCTGTAAGCTATGAAGCAAAACTGCTTATCAAAATCTCCATTACTTCTTAAGTCTTGCATGAATATTTGTTAATTTTATTTATCGAGCAGAAATTTAGCTCATATTTTTCTAACCAACCGCCTTCAAGGCATCTGAAACCCAGGCTATAGAAACTGGGGATGCAGCCATGATATCTGAGAGAGAGCTCTGTATACATAGTTCCTAGAATGTGATCCCTGACAAAAATAAACATTTTTAGTCCATTACAGTTTTTAAAATGAAGGGCAGCATAGCTGAACAACTGGTGCGACGCAAGAAAAAAATGCACATTGGGGGGAAGTCAGGCACAAAGCTTCCCATAAAGATTCCCATGTGATTTTTTTTATCTTTAAATCTCCCAGATAACTTCATGTATATACAACAGTGCTTTTTGTTTTTGTGCTTTCTTTCTCTTTGTTACTTAATCTTCTTTTCTCCAAACTGCTGCTTTTTATACTATTGTTTCTACTTTTTCTCCCTAACTCAAACTTATGTTCTTTCCTTGCTCTTCTTCCTTGCCACAGAAAAAAGCTCAGTCCATAGCAAATAGAGAATTTCATAAAAAGAGCATTAAAGAGAAAGCGGCTCATCTGGCCTCCATGTTTGGTTGTGTTGACATCCCCAAGGTGAATAAATACTGTGCTTGGTTTGCAAATACAGAGAATGCAAACTTGGTGAGGAACTGTGTTGGTGGTAACGCATGGCATAACACTTTGCTTCATTTAATTAAATGTGATTTTTAAAAAAGAAATAAGTGGGAATTAGAACATAGTCAACCACAAAGTGATAAGGGCCAAGCTTTTGATATGTTTGTGTTAGATAATGGCTGTAAATTTTTTTTCTTCTGGCTGTAATAGAATTTTCTTCAGTAATTTAGTGCATGTGCCATAATTTTAACATGCATTTGCAGGTAAATAATCTGGGACTATTTTTCATCTTTCTGCTCTACACAGAATCCACTTCTTACTAAAGGTCTCTCCCATTCTCAGCTCCCATCTCCCGCTTGTCTGCCATCTCATGATTCAACTGCTTCCTCTTCATCTATAGACTCTGCTTCTTCTGCTATTCTTTCTGAAAAGGTATTCTTTAACAGGTTTCCATCTCAGCTTCATATTGTCACTAAAAAAAAAGCCTATGCAATACTGACTTTCACTAACATTGCACAGAACAGTGTGTGTGTGCTACATTTCATTTGAAAAAAGGCTAAAGTAATGGATATTTCAGCCTTTTAAAACCCCACCAGAACTTTAATTTGGCTTATCCCTTTTAATAAACTATTTTAAAGCTTGTCATTAAGATGGAAATCATATAACTTTTCTCTCTATAAACAGTGGGAGAAAGATGATTGTATGTTGGCTGTGCAGATAAGTTCATGCTTACCAGATAAACTGGACAATCTGTGCCTTCAGGGCCACGCAGGTTCCCAATTACTTATTTACAGTCCCCAGGTCTTTCTCTGATAGCAGTTGCCAGAAATTAGTAGCACAGATGATTATGATTGTGAAGTACCATGAACACAAAAATACTATGAGAACACACATTTTTTTAATAACAAAAATCCTCCGGGGGCGGGGGGGACAGTGATGTCCCTGCCTTAGCCACTTTGCAGTCCTGTTCTATCTTCATTTAGACAGCCCTGCTTTTAAATCCTAATTTTAATTGTTCTGACAAAGTACTTGTAAATCATTTTATGTATTTGTGGATTCTTAGAAGCAGCCTTGCATACCTGGAAATATGTATTCTGATGAGAATTATATGGTCTTCTCAATTTTAAAGTAGGATTCTGTTTTCTGCTGCTTCTATAGCTTATAGCACTTTTAGATGTAGCTACATCTAAAGGAAGGAAACAGTGCAGGTGAAAGCATTTGCAATTCAATCAGTTGGCATTTGCAAGTGAAAAGAAGAATACATTCTAAGCTTAATGTGTATCACCACATCACCTTCAGTAGCTCTGCACCAAAAGCTGCAGTAGTTCGCATTCTTCTCCAAAATAAGCTAGATTTTCCAATTCCACTTTGAAAAAGCTGTATAGTAGACTGAGGCAGGTAAGGAGCTGTGGCCCACCAGTGACTTCGCTATACACATAGAGGCTCTTCCCACTCTACAACTCTTAAATGTTCTCTTATTAAATCAGTAAAAAGTTAGATATGCCCACTGAATGAATTCACACATTGTAGCAAGCCATAATGTGGTTTGTTCATTTTGGGCTTAACATGATACAAGAACATAGTGCTTTGAAAACCATGGTTTCATACATACAAGCATATGCACCACATGATTCATTTTCAGGAATGCAAAACAGAAAAGGAGTAAGAAATAGTAACCCAAGAAAGGGAAATGCAGATAAATCTAGTTTACACCAATACCATTTAGTGTACTGCTCCCTACTTTTCAATCTTTGAAAATCATCCTAGTTTCCATAATGTCCAAACCCTGTTTCATACATTAATCTTCTCACAGCATTCATTCTAAGGAAAAAACAAGATCTAACCATGGCTTTCTTAGTCTGCCCCTTCCTCTCAATCCATTCGCTTTTCCTTCATTTATGGATCCCCATTAATTCTCTCTATATTACCAAATTACCTCTATGTATTTCTTTTGTGCCGCTCACTCATGACTGCATTCAGTCCACATTCATTGAGTGCCCATTTATTTTTGACCCAATCTCTTCTTATTTTACCATATAATTTCTTAGGTACCCCATTCTCACTGCATTCAGATTAGTTTGATGTTTCTCCTGACATACTCTATTCTAACTTCATGTAACAAAACAGGCAGAAGCACTCTTATACCAGCCATTTGGTGGTGGTGGTGGTGGTGGTGG